GTGAGACAACAGTGAGTAGATGATTCAGAGACTGATCAAGCCTCTGGCTTTCTTTGGAACTGAAGCCTGGTTGTGATCAGACCACAAGTCATGTCTCCAGGCCTGGACTTGCTCTTACACTTCCTCATGTTAGTGATGCCTACAAAGGGTTTGGGGCTCAGCTCGGAGGTAGAGCGCTTGCCCTGAATCTGTGAAGCCTTGGGTTCCATACCCAACACTGAAGGGAGGGGGGGGAGGGGAGAGGAGGGGGAAGGGAGGGGAAGGGCACTACAAAAAATATGCAAGTGAGTAAGATTCAGCCTCTCTAAGCTGGGCAGAGACCACCATTCTTGCCAGAGTTAAGCACCCACCTCATATCTGTGATACCAGGCAGAATACAGTAAGGGACCCAAGGGTAAAAAGAAAGAAAAAAGACACCATAACTTCCTATAGGGAGACTTTCTGAAGTTTCATCAACAAAGTAGGAACCAGAATGGGCCTTAAACACTGAGCAGGATTTAAGAAGTAGAGGAAGGAAGCTGAGGCACAGTAGCTCAGCCTGTAATCCTAGCTACTTGACACACTGAGTGGGTAAGATCATGCATGGTGGTTCAAGTCCAGCTCAGGCAAGAAAAGTTCACAAGATTCCATTTCAACAGAAAAAGCTGAGAGTGGTGGTGCATGCCTGCCATCCCAGCTACAGCAGGAAGCTTAAAATAGGAAAATTGCAGTTCAGACCTGCCCAGACAAAAAGTGAGACCCTATCTCAAAAATAACCAGAGACAAAAATCTGGAGGTGTGGCTCAAGTGGTAGAGCACCTTCCTACCAAGCACTAAGCCCTGAGTTCAACCTCCAGTATGGGAGGAGGGGAGGAAGGAGACGGTGGGGGAAGGAGAAGGAAGCAGAGAGAAGGGGAGGAGGAGAAGGAGGAAGCAAACGGTGTCTCTGTAATGATTACGTTATTAGCACAGGCAGCAGTGGGAAGCCAGCTCCACTGTGCTGATCACAGGCAGAGACAGACAATGCAGAATCAGAGGAGCCAGGGGAGGGGAGACATGAAAGAAAGCACAATGGTCGCCACAGAGGTGGCGGTCCATGTACAGTGAAAAGAAGCACCCCATTTCTTTCTCTTGCAACTTTCACAGAGCAAGTTTCATGTAAGGAGAACCCCAGATTTCTGGGAGGAGCACCCAGTGAACCCAGATTTCAGTAGGAACCCCAAACTACTCACATCAATGGATGCTTACCTAAATGTACTCTCCCATGACAGCCAGCCATCCCTCAGCCACATCTCAATGCCATCCTTAGAGCTGTGTTTCTGGAAGGCTGACCCCAGACCACCCACAGCCAGACTACCTGGCATATTTAGTAAAATGCAATGCAGGCTTCCAGGACCTACCCCAAACCTGTAACTCACAATCTTTAGGACAGGTTCCAGAGCTATGGTTTAAAGCAAGTTTATTAGGTTGATCCTAGAGGAAAAAAAAAGTAATAACAGAGTTTTGTAAAGGAGTTTACTACTCTTTAAAAACATTTGTAGCCTAGTGTAGGGATACGTGTTTATAATCCCAGATGCTCAGGTTGCAGAGATCAGGAAGATCACAGTTCGAGACCAGCCCAGGCAAAAAGTTGGCAAGATCCCATCCCAACAAACAAGCTGAGCATAGTGGTGCATGCCTGTAACCCCAGCCAAATCAGAGGCATAAATTAGATCACGGTCCCAGGCTGCCTTGGGCAAAAAATCCTATATGAAAATGACTAAATCTAAAAAGGGCTGGGGGCATGGCTCAAATGATAGAGCACCTGCCTAGCAAAGCCCTGAGTTCAAAGCCCAGAACCACCAATAAATAAATAAATAGTAGTATGCAACACAAAAGACTCCAAAGCATGGTAGCGTTGAAGGTCACAGAGATAGTAAGAACTGTTAGCCAGGGAGCTCTCAGAAGATTTCTAGAGAAAGGGGAAAGAAACACAAGCGAGTGGGTGAGGGAAACACAGATGCACGTCCAAGAAGGTACAAGCTTCCCTCAAGGTACAAGGCTCCAGAAAAACCAAAGGACCAGGGTCAAAAACCTAAGTATCACTGTCAGACTGGCGAGTGAGCTGAGCAGGAGCTCCTCTTCCCAAACCAGCCAGAGGCCCTGGGCTGCTTTGAAAAAGGATTGGAGGTGACCGTGCACACACATGACAAATCTCGTGTCACAACAGTGCCTCTTCCAGGTATTGCTGCCTGCGGAGTGAATTAAAACATGAAAACCATTCTTGTAGACAGGAAAGGATTTAGTTAAGGAAAAAATGATGTCTGTAAAAATGCTTTTTATAAGCGAAAAAAATGACATGAAGCATTAAGTTCTCAATAAAATAATAATCCAGACCATCTGGCCACACGACTCACCACATCAATATTTCAAACCAGGCTCCGTGTGAAACAGTACGGCAGCTCCTCAAAAGTTATACGGGACCCAGCAACCCCCCTCCCAGGGCTCTACCCAAGAAAACTGAAACCATGTCTATACAGAACCTGCACCGGAAGGTTCACTGCGGCTTTATTCATAACAGCCCAAGGTGGAAACAGCTTGAGTCTCCATCACCTATCTGGTGAGCAGATAAACACAATGTGATATATCTACACAAGGGACTAGTACTCAGCCATCAAAAAGCTACAACACAGTGGACCTCGAAACCACCACCCTAAGTGCAAAGAGTCACACATGAAAGGCCACTTATTACGATTCCATTTATACAAAGTACCCAGATGGCCAAATCCATGGTGCCAAAAAAGATAGATTAGTGATTGCCTGGTGAGGGTGGGAGGAATAGAAGAGTGACTGCTAAGGGATATGGGGTTTCTTTTTGAGAAAAACCCGTACCATTTTTTATGAAAATGCACTGGAATTAAATAGTGGTTATAGTTGCCCAGCCTTGTGTATGTATTAAAACCACTGAACTGTACATCTGAAAAATTAAAGATAAATTCGGTGTGTATGGTGGCACACACCTGTAATCCCAGCACCAGGCAGGCACAAGTAGGAGGAGTAGAAATTCAAGACCAGCCTGAGCTATACAGAGAGCAAGACCCTGTCTCAAAAAATAAATGATCAAAAATATAGCTAAACTAATAAAAATTAAAAATATATAAACAAGCTTTTTTTAAAAAAAACAAGGATTTCAAACCAGATCTTGAGGTGACTTAGGTAAGAAAAACATGCAGATTTCCATAGACACGAATACCACTGGTTCAGTCGTCCACTAATGAGCTGTTCTTCTGAAATACTTGTACTGCAATGGTGCCAGAGCGACACTCACCCACAACATCAGTCTCCTCATACTCACAAGCTCCGAGAATAGCAAGGATAATTAATAACAACTAACCTTTATGGACTGTTTTCCATGTGTCAGACACTATAGTAAGCACTTGGCCTCTGAAGTATGCACTATTACCACCCCTTCTTTACGGATGAGGAAACTGAGGCACAAATCACTTTAACAACTTGTGGCCGCTCACCCAGGTGGGTGACTCATTCCAGGCAATTGGATGTTAATACTCTGCTGTGCTGCTCCAACAAACCCCACCTTCTTCAAACCCCTTGCAAAAATCATCATTTAGATCCACTGAATATAAGCCAAGACAGGACAGGGTCTAGGTTTTAAAACAACTGAGTTAATTGACTGAATTAGCAATCCCAGTCAGAACACTGGAAGGGCCCAAGGCTCTGGGAGTGAAAGCAAGCCAAGGCTGCATTCCATGTTAACTAAAGGGACTGACAACTGAGGGGCATGCACAACCCAAGAGCGAAATTCTAGATTGTCATCCGCTACCTTCTAGACTAGAAGAGGATGATTTGGTTTCCCGTCGCCCACAATAATCTAGAACTCTAAAGTGCGAGCACTAAGAGCAAAACCAGTAAAAACACTGCACATTGTGTGTATGACTTCTTACATACTCAACATACATGACATATGTGCGTGCTCCCTAAACAGTGAAGAGCCGTGGATCATTCCATCCCCTAAATCATAGGAGAGGAAGACAAATGAAGACAATGTAATCAAACAAGATGCTTGAGGAGGCCTTGAAGGAGCATGGAGGAAGGGACAGTGTGGCAAAAGGTCACCACCACTGCAAGCTTGAAGGGACTAAGGAAGAGTGGAGTGTTCCTACAGCAACCAGGAGTGCACAGTGTCCACCTTACTGGGAAACAAGGGAGGACAGGCCGGGGAGGGTTAGGTAAGACCTCCAAAGTCAAGGGAAGCGTTTGGACTTGATTCTGAGAAAAGGTTAGTCAGAGTTAGGAAAGATTCCTATGTTGTTGCATAGCAGAAACTCTGGCTTCAGCATTTGCTCACCCAACCCTGGAATTCCACCTCATCTACTGCTTCCTAATTTCATTTTAAAATTTCCGTTTCTGTTTCTGAAGCAGGACCTAGTGGAACCTAAACTCAAGACACAAAATCATCGCCTAAAGAATCACAGCCCTGAACAAAAGTGACTTGTAGGGTTTCTTCACAAAAGCCTCTTAGCACACAGCTGAGGAGCGTGACACTTCCTAGCTTACCCTCTCCCGAGCCAACATCCCAGTGTAGGCTGTCCCTGTACAACATGCATTTCATGAGGGGAGAAAAATTTTCCTCGGCCCAGTCACTGACATTGTCTTCTCTTCGTAATGAACCTGAACCACCACGTAGCCAACTTTTTTGCTGATTTCCAAAGAAATCCACGGTGGCTTATTTCACCCTAAATGAGCTATCAAACACCGGATCACAGCTGCATTTTACGAGACGCCCCCCTCCCCTACGCCCCAAAGCACTTTCCCCTGGCACCCACCTGAATGTCAGCTGTCTTCGGGCAATCAATCAATCAATAAAGTAAGTCTAACATCTCACACCAAAACACCCCGAGAGACACCAAGGGGCTGGGTTTGCGCCCCACCGTCACCTGCCTGCAAGCCAACCTGCCCGGCAGGGACGCAAGATGCCCGGCGGCAGCCAGGTGAGCGCGGTCCCGGCCGGGGCGGACACCCACCTGACCAGCGGCTCCTTCTCGGGCAGCGCGGGCTCCTCCAGGCAGGGACACCGGCGACAGCAGCAGCAGCAGGTCCGCAGCCAGCCCCTCAGCCCCATGGACAGCGAGAGTCTCCGCGGAAGCCGCAGGGTTGGAGCGAGGTGCGCGGTCGCGATCGCGGCTGGGGCGCAGCCACCGACCAGGGTCCAGGCGCCGGGACAGTGGAGGCCTGGCCCGGGCGCATCACGCCGCGGCCGGGGACGCGGGCCAGGGGCTGCAAGAACGCGCGCCGCTCGCACTTGAGGTTTGTTTGGGGCGTGGGTTTCGCTTCAGCTTTTTTTTTTTTTTTTTTATCCCCCCCTCTCTCTTTTAATTCCCCGGGCGCAAATTGGGGCGCATGCGTCCCCGAGACGCCCGCTGCTGCCCTCTAAGGAGGAATCCCGGGACTCCAGCCAGACCCCGGGCCAGGACCCGCAGGCAGCTGCGTCTGGAGGAGGGTGGCCCGGGGAAGCCACAGAGCAAGCGGCGCGCTGGGCTGTACCTAATCATCCTTTTTTATTGGCTTCATTGCCGAGGAAATAAAAGGTCTTTCCCGCCCTTGAAGCAGAGTTGAAGGCATGAGTTTAATCTGCTAGCCCCACGCAGAGGACAAGTTAGGAAGAGACTGTGGGTTGACACATTACATTTTCTTTTTAAGTAATATAGTCACAATATATGATTTGAAAAAAAAAAGTTTTCAAATTTCCAGTCCTTGTACAGCCCCTCAAAAAAGGCAACCACTTGTGAATTCCATATTTATTATGCGTTTGTTTGCTATGTATACATCTATTTTTTATGCTTGTACAAATTCTAAGTATATGTGCGCATATTCTTCCTACTTTTTTGCCCAAACAGCAGCATGGTGCATACATTTCTGCCTGGGTATCCATATGTTATTTAACCAGATCCCTGCTGTGGGCATTTTTAGATTAATCACAGCCTTTCCTTAAGTAAGATGAGACTTTTTTGCAGTGAGCATCCTTGAACCAATCTATTTGGACGAATCTGTAAGAATAGCTATTGGATAAATATTTGGCAGTTCAATTGCTGGGTCTTGGGAGAAGCGCTTTTTAAATTTTGCTGAATGTTGCCAAATTGCTCTCCAGTTCACAATTCCAATTTATTCAATGACATGTGGAAGTATTTCCCTATACCCCGTTCCCACCAATACAAGACAAAAGCTAGTTTATGGTCTTTGCCAATCTGATTTATTCAAGAAATATTATTGAACATCTGCTATGTGCCAGGCATATCTTAGGAAGTGGGGATATGGCAATAATTTTTTAAAAAATCCCCTACTCTATGGGGTAAATATTCTAGAGGGGGAGTTAGACAGATGAAACAAATGCATTATTTATTGTGTTAGAAAAATAAGGCAAGGAAGTGGATAAGTGCAAAGAAGGGGTGTGTGTGTGTGTGTGTGTGTGTGTGTGTGTGTGTGTGTGTGTACAAGTCTGGGGGTGGGTAGTGCCTGCAGTTTTAAGTGGGGTGATCACAGAAGGCCTCCCAGAGACTGTGACATCTCACAAAGACTTGAAGATGAGCAGGCTAGCCCTGTTGGCAGGGGAGGAAAATTTCAGGCAGAGTTGAGGACAATGTATTTATTCCAAAGGAAAGAATAAACTCTACGGTGCCTGAGAAAGGGTACGGACTCCAGGTACCCTGGAAACAAGGAGACAAGAGGAAGAGCAGTAGGAGATGGAGAAAGGTGGAATCTTGTAAGGCCTCAGAAGGACTTTGGATTTTGCTTCACATGAGCTGAGCAAACCTTTGGAGGCTGGACTGACCCAGATAGCAAGAGGTTCCATTGGCTGTTGTCTTGAGAAGAAAATGGCTGCCAAGGCTGCAGTTGGGAGAAGCATATGGATCCAGGTGACAGATGTCAGTGGCTTAGATCAGGTGGTAGCAGTAGTGCTGACAAGAAATGCTTGGAATTTGGATGGAATTTGATGGTAGAGCCAATATTTGCTAAAAGATTGTAGGTAAAGTGTGCAAAAAAGATAGGAGCAACTCCAAGGCTTGGAGTTTGTGAGCTGTGAGGATTGACTTGCCAGCGACTGAGACATGAACGTGAGCAGGTTTGGGGAGGGGAGGAGGAAAGGTAAGAGTTTATTTTCAAGGCTCATGAGTGGCGTATCATTTTTAAAGGTGTATTGCTACACGTGAGTTTATTCTGGCTGGCTACAGCATGAAACAGAATGGATTTGCCAAGAGCATCTTAACTGAGAGGACACTGGGGGATAAGGAAAAACAACAGAAGATCCCCGTGATCTCTGACTTAGCTGGAGAGACCAGCTATGGATCCATCATGAGATGTTAACAGAACATGACAGACTACCAGAACAGGACTGGTATCAAGGACCAGCACCAAGTCATTTATCACTTCCAACTGGTGGTGTTCTAAAAAGCAAACTTCCTACTGGCTGGAAATCCCCCCTGGTGGAACCAACTATGATTTGAAATTTGATTTTGGACTCAACCTAGATCCAGGTAGACAGCGGTGAAGGTGCTGCCAAAATGCACTCTGCTAGCAAGAACAAGAACTCTAGTGCCTGACATGTACGGTTAACAAACTGGATCTGTTGAGAAAAGAGAAATAAGAGAAAGCATTGGGCTCCTAGGAATATAGGTGCTCTTCACCTTTACCAATTTTGATGTTTAGATAAGTCATTTAATTTTTCTGAACCTCAGTTTTCTAATCAGCATAATGGGAAGGATAAATCTGGTCCTCCAAGGCACAGGTATGAAACTCAAATGAAATCATTTACAAATCATAAAGCCCATAGAAATATCAGATTTCAACAGTATTGATCAAACCCAAATAATATAGGCCTGCTGGGGAAAATGTCAGTTCCAACACTATTCAGCTTGTATAAGACAGTATTTCCTTTCATATTATTACCTCTATAATGTGCAGGCATCTTTCATGCAGCCTGTTTCAGATAGAATATTTGCATAAAGCCACAGAACCAGCTCTGTCCCCTCTTTACGTGGTGCTGGGGACCGAACCAGAATCTTGCACATGGTAGGCAAGCTCTGTACCACTGAGCTACATCCCCAACTCCCAGAGCCATGTCTCTTTAATAAACTCCATCAAGAGTTAATGTCTTTCTTTACTATGGATCATGTCTAGTGTATAACTGCTCTTACAATTACTAATATCATTATCAATTTGAATTTTGAAACTTACAAATGAAATATCCCTCTGAAACCCTGAAACATTACAGTTCAAGTGCCCCTTGCCCACTGTCCACAGACCTGATCCCTTTCTAACCTCCCCGGGGTAACCATTATTACCAGCATGGAACGAGTCCTTTTTGCACACATATAACTCATGTACCCTGTGATCTAGCATCATTGTGTGTGTTGTTATCATTAGTGGTGAGTTTTATTTTGTTTTAATATGAAAGGTATACATGCATCTGTCTGCATGCCTTTTCCACTTAATAATATGTCTTGGGGATCTATCCTTGTTAATAAAAGGCATAATACTGTGTCATTCTTTTTAACTCGTGTGAGTATTCTACTTATTAGTTTTTTAAGGATGATCATGTCAGTGTTTTCGTGGTGTTCATCTTTCCAGAAGTTGAATACCCTTATAATTTTCTCAGTTTTGATAAAGTACACCTGCAGTAGGAATGACTCCTCTTCCTCGGCTCTGCTTCCAGGTAGCTGAGACACACTCTGACACCCAGTGCCTACTTCTGACATAGTTCACAGGACAGCAGGGAGTTTCCCAGTTTTTTTTTTTTTTTTATTGTTTTATTCATATGTGCATACAAGGCTTGGGTCATTTCTCCCCCCTGCCCCCACCCCCTCCCTTACCACCCACTCCGCCCCCTCCTTCTCCCCCCCACCCCCTCAATACACAGCAGAAACTATTTTGCCCTTATCTCTAATTTTGTTGAAGAGAGAGTATACAGTTTCCCAGTTTTTAGAATGGCGCTAGATTCCTTCTGCTGCCTGAGTTGACACAAACACCATGGCGGCGGCAGCCGAGAGTCCCTGAGCACCTGATGCCTGGGGAGCTGACAGTCCCTTGAGGCAACTGGTGACTCACAGACCTTCAGCTGCTTGTTTTCAAAGCAGAATTAGGAAACAGGCCAGCCCCTATTTTCAGATTTCTCTATGGCAGGGAAAACACTAAAGTCTGTTTTGAAATCCCTTCTTTGAAGTCCCCTCTATCTACACCCCAGCATTTAAGAATTTACTGACAACTTCTGAGACTTGGAAGAAAAGGCATATGTAAGGCATATGCATATCAAAGTATTTCAACTCCAATGCTACATCATGGATGGATTCCACCGAAAAGCTTTGCTTAGAACAAGATAGCATGATCTGGTGCCGTGCAACAAAGCCTATGGAGCCAGTTGCTGGGGATACAATGACATGTGGGTTCCATCCATGAAGACCAGGACTGTGTTTTGTTCTCTGCAATATCCCCAACACCTAGAATATTACAGACCTACAGCAGAATGTCAATAAATAGGAGATGCTGTATGGCCACACCTGGAACAGTGCAGACACATAGTAGGCACTTAATAAATGCATGTGACAAATATAAGAAAATACAAAAAGAGCTTAGTGTTTACACGGAAACTTATGTGTCATTTCTCAAGGGTCTATTTAGGAGCTGCCCAAATCCAACAGAGAAAAGCTAGATCACTGTCTTCCTCAGAGAAAACAGAGAACCTTCCAAACAAACCAGGATTCTGAGCCAACCTCAGCAGCATCACTCACCTTGAGCCACCTAATATGGGGAACAACATGACTCACCTCTCAGAGAGGTCGCATCAGTTGTGGCATGAGATGATGTCTCTAAAGTAAAAGCCAGCCAGGAGTCCCCACAGGTGCTCTTGTTTCTACCTCTGCAATTTCCTCCACCTCTTCTTTTGGTAACAGCATTTTGTTTTTCTTTGATGAACACCCCAAACTCCATAGGCTGGGTGTGACAATGAAGGTACCCCCCCATCTCTCATCTCCTAACTCCCCCAAATGGAAAATTTGAACACTTCTTCTATAATTTGAAAATGACTTCCAAAATAGAAAATGACTGGAGTTGAGACATGCAGTATTTTAAGGACATCATCATGAAGAGAGGCTCAAGCCCATTGCTATTTAGATGTCTGCACTTCCCCTGCCATGGTTCCCGAGGCCAATTTGTTCTTAGCTATCTAGTGTAATTAGCTATCTAGAGGGAGCTAATTATGAAAGGGGCAATTCTCTCTTTTACAGTGAGTTCAACTCACCAATGTCAGCTTTAGTCAGGTGAGATTTTTATTGGACTCTCTTCT